TGGAACCCAATAGGACAGACAGATGGCAAATCTTAGCTCCTCCACTCTAGAACTGTGTGGCATGGGGCAGGTGGGTAGCATCCTCTCTGGGCCTCAGTAATTGGTAAACAACACCTACTTTTTACCTCCACTTCACTTGATGAATAAATGAGACCATTGATATTTGGGACAATGCCATTAATAGAGTGTCCAGCACATGATGTTCCAGAACATAGATGGCAATGGAGACAGAGTGAGGCAGTGGGTCCTACAGTAGAAGGATGATGGCGCTTCAGTCAGAAGGAACTGGATTCAAATCCCTGCTCATTCTCTGACTAGCTGAGTCACCTTTACTTCTCTGAACTTCGGTGCCCTCATCTGCAAAAATGGAGATGCAAGTGGTTGGGACGACTCATTGAATGGGTTGCATGAAAGTCCTTGGCATGGCGACAGCTTCTCAACAAACGTTTGGTTTGGGTCCTTTCACATGTGGCACGAGCTCTTGTGTCTTCCTCTTACTGAGTTATTAAGAAGGGAAAGTTGATTTCCTTCAGTAGACGCGTGGCTACATCACTGTGGAACACTTAATTTCTGTTCTTGCCTATTTCTCAAACAAGTCTCAGAAGTTAAGTGGCTTACTCACAGTGTCACTACAGTTTCTACTCTGCTATACTCTCTCCCTAAACAGTCTTGTGGAACTTTCCAGGCTTGTGGGGCTGGAAGTGACCTCTGTGGTCATTAGATGCTTGATGAAGATGACCAAGACAGCTACATCCTGACTGTCAAAAAATAACACTCATGCCCAGAAGACCAAGTAGATAAAATGCGAATCCTAGGCTGGAGATCAAAAGTCTCTGCAACAGTCCCATTCCCTTCCTGCCCGCTTCCTTCTCCCTTTAGCCTGCCAGGAAGGAGTTGTTGCTGTTTGCTTCAGAAGGTGGCTCCCAGAAAAAAACAGTGCCACACCTTACCCTGGCCCCTCCTTCTCCCTCTCCTCTAAATAGTGAAAGTAGGAATAATAATAATTATCATGACCACGCTTATTAAATGTTTGTTATTGTGTGCTGAGGACTTTCCACACAATACCCCTTCTTCCCTAGTTAATCTTCACAGTAGCCGGTAAACTAGGTGCTGTCGCCATTCCTGTTTGACAGAGGAGGAAACTGAGGCTCAGAATGCACCAGTAAGTTTTGCTTAAGGCCCCACAGTGAAGGGGCCTTGACTGGAACCCGAGTCTGTCTGATTGCAGAGCCTCTGCTCATAATTACTCTCCTGGACTGTGAAGTAGATGTTGGTACTGGGGACACTATGGCAAAAGGACCTGGAATGCCACAGCTTTATGAGTGTAGTTGAAGGGGAAGGAAGAGTGAAGTAGCACCTGAGATGTGATTCTGAGTTGTGGCTTCTCCCTGGTTTCCCGTCTGACCTTGGGCCCATGACTTATCTTCTCTGTGCCTTGAGAGACCTCACTCAGTACAGTTGGGATGAGGCCCCACCGATGACTTTGGGCTATGTGAGGTTGTCAGGAGAAGGAAAATGGGAGCAACAGAGTGTCTCCAAGTGCTGAGTGAGTGATCAAGACCACTGGGCCCCACTGCCAGTTCTGTGGCCTTCGGTCTCTGTTAAGAGGACTTATGTAAAGGTTACCTCTACCCAAAGTTAAGTTGCAATGAAAACAACAATGGGGAAGAGGATGGCGTGGAGTATAAATGAAATATTTCTTAAAAGAAAAGCACTGGACTTCAGGTCAGAAGATCTATGTTTTGGTCTAGCGTGTTATTACCAAGGGTGCAGAGTGACGTCGCAGTCTTCCTCCAACTTGAGTTGGGTCGTGGGTCTAGTTCCATCTGTACTCTGGCCTTAGTCTCACAATCTGTGAAATGAGGGCATCTTTCACAGTCTTTCTGACACACTTGCCCTGGCACACCCCGGTGGTCTGTATCTCAGTTCTTGTCCTGATGTCCTTCTAGGCCTGCTTTGCTGTCTTGGCAGGTAGAAGAGCCTGAGCTGTCCTGTCCTGGCCTCAGAGAGGATGCAAGGGATGGGGTCTTGGGTGGGCAAAAGACAGGAAAGGGGCACAGGGCCATGAGGGCAGACCTCTCCTGGCTTGGCCCTTGTTTCTCCCCTCCCCCCAGTGGCATGGGGTGGGGGGGGCTGGCCTGAGATCAGAGGTCCACCTGCGTCAGCCCTGACCCTGCCCTCAAGTCAGGAGGCGCCTTCTCAAGGCAGAACAATGCGGATTCTTTGAAGGGCTGGGCAGCAGGGGATGGGTGTTTCTCCAAACACAGGGCCTCCTTTGCAAAACAGGCTTTGATTCTCAGGCCCAGAGGCCCCAGGTGCCTGTTGGGCGGCAGGCGGAGGCTGGGGGCTTTGTTTGTTTGCCTTGGAGACTCAGGAACAAAGCCTGGGACAAAGCTAGCCCTGGCTTCAGGCAAGGCAGTCTGAGCAAGCAGGCCAGGGCTGGGATGGCAGTGGAGGCAGTGGCCTGTATGTCTCTGGCCAGCCCCTCCTCAACCCGGCCAGTTCAGGCTATTTCTGGCCTCCTCATTGTGTGTCTGGCTCTTTCACATAAATGGCAAATGCTGTTGGATCTCCAGGCTGTCCTGGTGGTCCACTGGCTCTCAAAATCCCTGTTGGGGAATAAAGTGGGTAAAACTGGAGTCCAGGACACAGAATCCAAGAGGTGAGGAGGAAAGAGCTCTGACCCAGAGTCCACTGGCCTGTGCCCAAGCACTTAGGTCACCAAGAAGGATGGTTACTACTTTCTGCCAGGCGTTATGCTGGGCACTCGACATGCATGAGGCTCTGATTTAACCCTTGTTTTCTCACTTGATAGTGGCCTGCAAGGTCCGCAGCACCCCTCCAAATGCATCCCCTTTCAGTCTGCTCCTCCATTCCAGCTACGTTTTCCTGCTTTCAGTCCCAGAACACACCAGGCGCACTCCTGCCTTAACGTCTTCTCACCGGCTTTGTCCTCCGCCCAGGACGCTCTGGTGTGGCTGACTCCTCGCTCCTTCAGGCCGCGGCTCGGATCCTACTCTCTCCATGAGGCCTACCCCAACCACTCTCTGCAGACGTGCCATCCAGTCCCCTGAACTTTCGTGCCCCCTGAGCTTGCTTTTTTTCCCCTTACAGTGCTTTTCACCTCTTAATATACCATTACTTATTTATTACACTGTTACGGACTCTGTGTCTGAACTAGCATGTGAGCTCCAACAGTTCAGGCATCTTTGTTAGTTTCACTCGTGTACCCTAAGCACCTAGAACAGTGCCTAGTACATAGCCGGCACTTACGATGTTAATTTTATGTCAACTTAGTTAAGGTACCCAGTTGTTTGGTCAAACACTATTCTAACACTAGTCTCGATGTTGTTGTGAAGGTATTTGTAGATATGATTTATATTTACAATCAGTTGACTCTAAGTAAAGTAGGTTACCCTCCATAGTGTGTGAGTGGGCTTTATCCAATTTGATGAGGGCCTTAAAAACAAAAAGTGAGGTTTCTTGAAGAAAGAATTCGTCTCGTGACTACCATGTAGAAACCTGCTTGAGTTTCCCACCTGTTGGCCTACAAAATTCAGACTCAGGACTGAAATGTCATCTATAGCTGTACTACCCTGAACAAGCCCGATCCTCTCTAATCTCAGAAGCTAAGCAAGGTTGGGCCTGATTAGTACTTGGATGGGAGACCCCCTAGGAAGACCAGGTGCTATAGGCATAAAAAATAAAAAAATAAGGGATTGTAAGCTGACAAGGTCCTTGCAATCCGTGAGGTCAACCAAGGGTCGCCTCGCCTAAAAAAATATTTTAAAATTAAAAAAAAAAAAAAAAGACTGAAATGTCAATTCTTAGCTGAATTTCCAGCCTGTTAGCAGATTTGCCAGGCCCATAAAATAAGAGTAAGTTGCCAGTTCCTTAAAATCTACCTATCTATTATCTATCTATCTATCTATCTATCTATCTATCTATCTATCTATCATCTACCATCTATCATCTATCTATCAATCAATCATCTATCAAACCTATTGGTTCCATTTCTCAGGTTTTTTGGAGAACCCCAACTAACACAGCATAAGACATACTAGAGTTGAACCATAGGAAATTGCTGTTTTTGTGAGTTAAAAAATGATTAAATGTCAGCAATTTCATATGGCTCAACCTAATATTTGTTGAGTGAATAAATGAATAAATCACAAAGCAATCGTGAGATAGGTGTTATCTTATTGATAAGGAAACCAAGATTCCAAGAGATTAAGCTACTTGCTAAGAAAGGCACGGCAGATAAGTGACAGGGCTGGGATTCAAAACTCAGATGGATTCCAAGGTTGTTGCTCCTAATCGGCCAACCACAGGGCCTCCCAAGCAAGGTGCACCACCTTTGTGGGACACAGTTTGAGAGGTCAGTGAAAGACTGGGATTCTGGACAAGTTTAAATGCTTCCTAGCTTCAAGCCCTGAGGCTACCATGAGTGGCTGTGCCAGCCACTCATTTCATTTTGATCATGGCTCGGGACTGCGGGTGGCCTTCCTTGATCCCGGTGTCTTTCCATAGCTGCTGGTAGTCCATTTAGACCCCCATCTCTAAGGGAGTTTGAAGGGAGACTGACAGAAAAGCATCATCTCTTGTCTCCCTAAAGATGGAGGTGCCCAGGTAGGAAGGCAGCATGGCGGGCTAGAGTGTAATGGTGAAGGTGATCATGGGGACAGAGGACCTGGGTCTGAAACTCGGCTCTGCCACTTGGCAGCCAGGTGACTTTGGTCAACTTATTTAATGTCACCGAGTCTCAGGCTCCCCATATGAAAAATGAGATAATAATGCTTTATGTCTAGTATTATTTCAAAAACTAAGTGAGATAATACATGTAAAGTGCTTGGAATCCTGAGTGCTCAGTAAGTAGTAGTAACTAGTATTATTGCTTTTAGCAAATAATATAACTACAACTCCAGATATTGCTGGAAGCAAAAAAGAGAATGTCAATAACAATTTTTTTTGTCTTGATTACATTCCTTTGTCACCTCTAGAGTTCCCTCTCCTCAACTGATGTACCCTGAAAGAGGATCTGATTGTGATAATTCAGTGTGGCTTTGTTTGGGTGAGTTTATACCTTCCACGTGTTACCCTCTGGCAGGTATTCCTTGTTTAGACCTGAACTTTCATTCTGGCCTGAAGGGCTTGTCTACTGTTAAAAACAAAAACAAAAACAAAAGGTGCCAGCATTTTAGGCTCCTGGAAATAACACCCCACAGCAGATAATTATAGTACTCTGCACTTTTCACATAAGCTGGTGTTTATGTTAAAACTGTAAGGGAGGCTGACAGTGACAGGTGATGGGCTCCCTCCTAGGCAGTGTGGTCTCCAAAGTGAGGGAGGAAGACAATTTTCTGGGGCTGCAGATTCTCTGGACTGCAGGAAGAACTTTTCTTCATATGCATTTTCATAACAAAAAGGTCATTAAGCTTTATTACTATTCGATATTGAGATAAACAAACATAATATTTAGAAATAAAATATTTGAAACAGCATGCTTGGATTATTTTTAACCAATAATGATATGAGATCAAAGAGATTTGGAGACCATGGCTCTAGGGAACCATCTTAAACTTTGGCTTTCAGGATGACTTCCTTCCTGCTCTGGAGCTCGGCTCAGGCCAGGTCCCTGCAGGGGACCAGCAGGAACCAATAGCATCATCTTTCAGACATTGGTGGATCCTCAGCCTGGTCAGAGTTGCCCACTCTCCCCAGTTCCTGGATTGTCTGGCTCACACTGGCCTAGGAGGTTATCAGTACTGGAGTCTCCAACAGCCTTTCCTGTTATCAGAGACCCAGTGTCCAAGAAGTCTGAACCTCCTGCCTCTTCCCATCCTGCTGGGTTATGGTCTGTCCTTGGAGGAAGGGTAAACACAGGAGGTGACAGTGTCAATAAATGTCTCCCATGTGGCCTTGGCTAGCACACATGCATTTCTACTCAGGGACACAGGTAGATTTGTGCTTATGGCCCTTCCTATGACACACACACAGAATAAATATCAAAAAGACAGGAAATAGTAATAAAAATTTTGAAAAGAACAAAAAGGAAAAGAATGTCCCTTTATGGGCTCTGAAAGAGATCTTATTTGTGTGTGTTGTCCTTGTCAGGGTAATGTTGGCCTTGTAAAATGAGTCAGGAAGTATTACCTTTTCTTCAAATTTTTTTTTAGAAGAGATCGAGAAGAATTAGTATTAACACTTCTTTGAATATTTGGTAGAATTCACCAGTGAAGCCATCCGGTCCTGGACTTTTGTTTTTTTGGGAGGTTTTTGATTACTGTTTCAATTTCCTCACTAGTGATCGGTCTATTAGGTTTTCCACATCTCCATGAATTTGTCCATTTCTTCTAGGTTGTTGTCGAATTTGGTGGTATACAGCCTGAAAGAGATCAGTAAGTAGTAGTAGTTAATATTATTACTTTTAGCAAATAATGTAACTGCAACTTTTTTTGGATATTGCTGGAGGCAAAAAAGAACTTAAAAAGTTAGTTCTGGGTAATGCAAATCCTGCCTCTTGAAACTTGTCACACTTCAGGCAATGGCTAGCAGATCTAGGTCACCCAATAATTATGAATTCCCCAGTCATTTACAAATAAATAATGAACATCTGTCAGTTAACTTAATTAATGAGGAAACCAGTAAGCTGGTACAATTGGTTTAAAGAAGAATTAAAAGAACCTCACTTACATAAGTTATAAGAATGCTGATATATTTTTAAATATTTATAAAATTGGTCTATCCATGAGGCAATAATCAATTGCATTCTACTGGATGCAATCCATTTGCATTTCTATGGAAAAGAATACTTTACATTATTATTAATTGCCCACACTTAGAGTCTTAAAACATCTCAAGGATAATAAAATATGAAATAACCTAGAAGAGAACTCTAAATAGGACACTCTTTTTTTGCCTGTGACAAAGTCTTTTTCACAATTTTCCCTGACACCAGAAAAATAATTTGGCAAATAATTTGGCCAAGGAACTTTACCAAAATCTTGATTGTATTTTAATTAAAGTGGGTGATGAATCATTGTAGAATTCCATCCTTTTCTTCATGCGGATGATTTAGGAGAGGGCAGTGTACTATCAAGCCAGGAAGCAGATCTGGGTCAGGTCTGCTTATCACTCTGTAGTTGAGTGGCTTTGGGCCATTCCCTTCTTTCTGAGCCCATGACTTCTGAGGGCCAATAACAATAAAATTACAGAGGGGAAAGATCATCAAAATGAGGCCAATAACAATAAAATTACAGAAGGGAAAGATCTTGCACCAGGCCCGGCACAGTGTGGGAACTTAAGATACAGGGCTTCCTTCTCCACTTCTTGAAACTATCCCCAAAGGCTTCTGAAGGCATTCAGTCTTTTCCAGTTGCAAAGACTGCTTGTTTCAGCCATCTGGTACTTCCAGCCCACTGAGACTTCAAGTGGATGGAGCTATACTTGTGTAGTGCTCCAGAGACACTGGGTAAGCCTGTGGGAAAGGTGGCCAAAGTCTTCTTTGGCGAAAAATAGAACTCAGTTCCATGGTGTCACCAAAGGGCAGGTCTCTGGGGCTGTAGAAAGGGGAGGAAGTCAGTGAGCTTGATGCAGAGCTGAGAAGAGATTGGTTGAGAGAAAGGTTTAGCATAAACCAGGGATTCCTACTTTTAGAGGGGTGATCAGAGACATCTTTGAAAATCTGATGAAAACCTTAAACCAGAAATATGTGTGTGTGTTGGTTGGCAGAGGCTGTAGCAGGGTCTTCCCCAGAGGTGCTAGGCCTGAAATGAGGAAGCCTTTGCAGTCCCCTTCTCTCCCCTCGGTGAATGTCTCCAGCTTCAGAGGAACTGAGGGCCAGTCTCACAGGGGAAAGAAGCCCCAAAGTGGGCGGAGGCAAACATAAGTCTTTCTCCATCAACTAAACGAGGGGGCCTGATGAGCTGCTTTAGCCTAGATGGTGCCCTAGAGCCTTGCCTCTCTTATCTAGGGGGCTGCCCTAAGTCTCCATCACCCCAGTCGTTTAGTCTACACAGCAGAGGACCAGTACGGAGGGTAGAAGGTAGTGGTGGGGGACTTCCATAGAAAAGCATGGGACATTGACTGTCTCCCTCCCCAGTTCATGGGCCACCTGGAGGAAGTAAAGAATGTGGGCTTCAGAGCAAGTTTGGGCTTTGCGTCAACCATAGAGGTGCATCACTCAGCTCTCCCTTCAACAAGGAACTTTCTATTCAGCTGTGTATTTGTTTCCTAGGACTGTCATAACAAAGTGCCACGAACTGAGTGGCTTACATAACAGAAATTTATTTTCTCACAGTTCTGGAAAATGAAAGTGTAAAATCAAGACGTCATCAAGGTCGAGTTTCCTCTGAAGGTGCTAGGGAAGGATCTGTTTCATGCCTCTCTCCTAGCTTATGGTAGCCTCAGGCACTCCTTGGCTTATAGATGCATTACTCCAATCCTCCATCTTTGCATGGCATTCTCTTTATGTGTTTCTGTCTTCATATGGCCTTCTTCTTATAAGGACACTAGTCATATTGGATTAGGGGCCCACTCTCCTCCAGTACGACCTCATCTTAACTAATTACATTTGCCACAACACTATTTCCAAATAAAGTGACATTCAGACTTTATTTAGGGTTAGGAATTCAATATATTCTTTTTGGAGAAAGATGAGATGGGGGGACACATAATTCAACCTATAACAAGCTACCAGGAGTACAGTTAGTGTACCCCCCTCTTACTGTAGCACCTTTGGGTAGCCACACTTTCCCCAGGCAGCTCTCAACCAATGGGACAGAGGCTTTATCAGATCTGCATTACAATCAGAAGGCCTAATATTGTTCCTCTCCCTCCATCTTTCACAGGCATCCTCTCTCAATAAGTATTTTGCATTCCTAACTCCACTGGCGTGTGCTTCCAGAAGGATCAAAATTGGCAAAGGAGGTAAAATGGATTTATTTACTGGATCACTTGATGCCCAGCTGTCAAGGAAGACCCCATCCCCAGAGATATATGGGGCACGATAGTCCCTGGCACAAGGAGGTGGCTCAGTTGCTTAAACATTGATAACAACTGGAAGAGGTTTCAGTGGAGGCACCACCCTGGCCATGAGGTAATTCAGGTGTTTGAAAAACACAGGAGCAATACATAAAGGACAATGGAATTAACTGCATTAAATTGTATTGACCTTACAGAGAAAAAACGAAAAGCTGAGGGCACTTAAAAAAACAAAAATGTAAGTGCAAAGCAGGTTTTGGTACCCTACAAATAAGCCTTTATTTCTTGCAAAGGGAGCGCAGAAAAAGTTTATGATCAAAATCAGGATTTGATAGTATGGAGCTTCAAAGATGGTAGAAGTCTCAGTGAAGCAAGTCTGTTGTGCTAAGTTCAGAGCTCTGGTTGAGAAAACCTGGGTGGAACACATGGGATGGGACACTGAATATTTTGGCTCCCCAGACTCTGCAGTATCAGAGCATGCAGAGGTGGCCCGCCGCCACTAACAAGAGACAGCACACCCTACATGCAGGAAGACACTGCAGAGGCTCTTCCCCACCAGACAATAGGAGTCCTCTCCATACTCTGCTCTATCTCTTTTTCTGACCATCAGACTGATAACGAGAGCTATATTGAACCATGACCCAGCCAGGGTCTTATCTGGGAGGATAGGGACAATACCTCAGAGGAACTGCAAGAATTATGCAGTAAACTATATTTTTAAAAATGTTAGATCAAGGGATCTAGCACAGACAACTGGATAAAAGAGAGTCTATTTACTTGTGTATATGGGATTAAACTTTCCTGGGGACAGTGCAAACTTGCTGTTTGGGAGGCTCCTGGATGGCCCATGCCCAACAAACTTGAAATGCCTGAATCGTCATGGCAAATGGGGGAGAAAGGGATTAAAAGGCCCAGGGTTAGCAGACATGGAAGAGTGGATATATTATGTGAGGCCAGAAGACCAATCAGAGGATGATAACCCATGAGTAGACCCAGAGGAGACATCATTGACCAAGTTCATCAGGAGTATGTTGGTGAGAGGGCACCAGTGTCACTAAGTTTGAAGGTGGCGCTTTCCTCTGCAAGCCAGAGATAAGTCTATGTAGAGCTTAGCCTGTGCATTGGTAGCAATGGAGGCGATGGGGCCCCATACAAAAGCCAAGTCACGATTATTGTAAAACTAGTTAAGTCAGGGCGACAGCCAAGGGAGCTTGACCTGTAGAGAGCTGTGGAGGTAGTTAATAGAATAAAGTATCCCTACAAGGAAAATACATGTGTAACCAGTAAGGGTATCATTAAAAGAAAGCAGGAATGTTTAAACAGAAAGTTTAGGATGATTGCCTCAATAAAATGTCACAATCTCTTGCCCAATTCTTGGACCTGATCCAGTTTTGATCTCTGTGTTAGTAGAAGAGAGAATCTGTTGTTTGAAGAGGTGGTTGGGCCTCCAGGGAAAAGGACTATGCTACACCGCAGCAAACATATCCTGTAAGGGTCTTCCTAGTCCTTTCCCAAAGGGACTGAGGGCTATATACTCAGAGGCTGTTTACTGGGGAAATGGAACTATCCAGACATTTCTAGGACTAATGGACACATGTCTGAGTTGACATCGATACCCAGAGACCTGAAATGTCATTATGGACACTTATGAGAGTCAGGTAGTAGTTAATGGAGTCCTGTCCCGAGTCCAGCTTACAAGGAGGAGGTGAGACCACTCAGTACTCATTTCTCTGATCTCTGAATATATAACTGGGGCTGATATACCTGAAAGATAGAGTAATCCTTACATCAGGTCTTTGACCTGTGGGGTAAGAGCTACCATAGTGGAGAAGACCAAGTGGAAGGCTCTGAATCTGTCCTCCTTCCCCACCTTCTCCTTCCACTCTCTATTTTCTACACTCCCACTCTCCACCGTGATGGTAAAGCAAAACCAATATTGTATCCCAGGGAGGATGGCAGATATTAATGTTATCATTAAGGATCTCAAGATGCAGGAATAATCGTCTCTGTCCTATCTCTGTTTAATTTATCGGTCTGGTCTTTGCAGAAACCAGATGTATCTTAGAGCGTGACTATAGACAATTGAAAGTTCTACCAAATAGTAACTCCAAATGCAACTGTCATACTGATCTTTGGTCTTTGCTAGAGCAGATTAATATGGCTTCAGGTACATGGTAGCCACTGTTGACTTGGTAAATGTGATATTTTCTGTCCAATCAGGAAAGAAGATGAGAAGAATTTATTGAAGAATTTAATGAAGAGTTCACCATTCAGCTTTTGGGTGCAGTAAGGTGACAGCTTCCATCTGCAGAGCCTTCAGGCCAAGGTTGTGTTTTCTGGGCAGCTCCCAGCCAAAGAGAAGCTTGAGGACCCTAGGATCTGGCCATTTCTGCCCAATATGGAACTCTTCTAATGGGCAGACTTTGCTTAGAAGCTCCCCATCGAGTTGGCTGGATTTGTCAGTTTTGCATCACAATCTGGGAGGAGCCTGAGCAACTTTTGGGACCTGAGGTCACACCAGATACTCTGAGCTTTCCGGGTCCATTTGATGGATCTGGAAAGTGAGAGGATCAGTCACAGACCCCATTGGAAAGCCACATCTTCCCCCTAGATGGCTTCTGGAAGTTGAAGGTGCACAGGCCTTAGGCTCAAACATATCTGGGTTCTAATCTCAGCTTCTCCGCTGGCTGGTGGTGGAGCTTTGGTCTCTGTGCTTCTTGAAAAAGCCCCATCTTTATCATCTCTCTGATTCCTCTCTCTTTCTCTTCCACTTTCCCTCCACATCACATGCCCAGCCAGAATCCTCCTGGGGCAGATTTGCTGCTAGGAGCTGCCAATGAGCTCTTGAGGAAAAGTCTATTCCCAAGACCACCCACCCTCTCCTCAACCCCTCCTTCCTTCCCCAGAATATGCAGCTCCTTCAATTTTTTTTAACCAGTGACACAATATATCTAATTTGTGTTTATGTTTCATAATACGTTGCAAAATATAAACATTCAAAATAGGTGTAAATAAGTTGTTTTAGAGAAAGTCTTGAATAAGGTTGCGGTCCTATTGTAGCAGTGCAATAAAGAGAAATCTCAGAGTGATGGATTTTTAGCAGCGCTAAAGAGCACCTGGTCTGAGCTTGAACACAAATTCAAGGAGCATCAGGCAGAGAATTTTCTTCAAATAAGTAGAGTTAGTGTAAGAAATGCTATGATTAAGAAATCGAAGAAGCTGTGATTAGGAATCTATGTGAGAAGGTGCAGCATATGCTTATTATGACAGCAACATATAAGAAAGTCAAATTCTAGTTAAATACATCAAAACAAGAAATTCATGGAACAAGTATAAAGCCAGTGAAGACGAGGCTTGACCTTGAGCACATGATGATTTATTTTTTTTTAATATGATACATGAAACCATTTCCTTAAAATGGCCCACCGCCTCCTTTAATTTTCAAATGAAGGTCAGGCACTTGGGCAGCTGAATTAAAATTTAGCAAACTTTATTGAGCCCCTACTTGGTACCAGGTCCCAAGCTGGACACTTTCCCATAATAACCTTCACAATGACTCAATGAGTCAGGCTCTGTTAGTACACCTTGACAAATGAGCAAACTAGAATCAGGAGGTGAAGTTAAGTTTGGATCCCAGCCCATCGTTCTCCAAGCCCAGTGCTCCTTCTCTAATGCAGGTATAGCTGGTTCGGGTCACTGCCCATATCTGTGGGGATGGAGACCTCATAACTAGATAACTGGGGAACCAGGGCCACCGTCAATCCAACCTGCAGGATGTGTGGTATGTATATGCTGGTGGGGACATCTGGAGACACTCATGGGGTCAGGGAGGTTGTGGGCAGGCCCTGGAAGCTCCTGGAATGTTTGGGACTACCAGAGCTCTTCAGATAACAGCAAAAGTAATGTTAATGATATCAGCTGGGATTTGTTAAATTCTTACTACATGCCAGATACTGAGGGTTAACAAACATTTAATCTCATTTAATCCTCCAGAAACTCTGAGGAGAAGGAATTGTTATCCAGAATCCCCTATATAGGCCTATGTGACTCCAAAACTCTTGCACTGACCTACCTCAGTGTAGATCTGCATCTGCCCTGGTGATGACTAATGACCCTTGCCCCAACATACCATGCCGTGGCCAGATTCCTGCCCTGTCAACCACTCCTCCCTTGCTCTGGCTCCTCAGAGCAAGCCTGCGGTTCTGGGCTTGGATTGTGGAAAGGATAAAGCCTTCGTAGGTGTGGTTGAATCCCACCTCCCTGAAATGCTGAGACTTAAAGATGATGGAAGGTACATTCTGAACCCCATTCAGAGCAAGAGAGAAAAAATGAGGGGCAGACTTAATGTTCACATAGCAGAACAGAACCCAAAAGACCTTGCCCTCTCTATTGAGGAGAAAGCTCTCAAACCAGAGAAGCATAGCAATCCTGGTTAACAGGAAGCCAAAGGCCAGGCTGGGCTGAGACATAGCTACACCCAATTGCCTTTGCTCTCTGTTCGAGGCCCTTCCAGACAGCGAAGGGTCATTCCAGGGGCTCTTCTGGGGATGGGAGAGGAATCAGGAAGGAAGCCAAAAAAAAAAAAACCCAACAACACTACCTCAATTTGAGCTTGGGAAAAATATGGTGCATTGAGCTTTTGATAATCCCAGGCAAAATTCCAGAAGTTCCTTTTCTAAGCAGGGATTATTGGGAGCTGAGACAGATTCACTTAGGTCAAGTCATGCCTAACTCTCCAGATTTCCTCTGTAAGAAGGGTCATCAGGGTATGTTATGGGACAAGAATCATAAACTCTGAATTTAAAAATAAGACTGCTGTTATAAGAACTGCATTGAGGAAGAAAGGAGAGAGTTCATCAGCCAGGTTCTGGAATCTGACCACACCCCAGCTCCTTACATATCAAAATTATAGGCTTCCTTTTATAGCTGAGTAAACTCAAGAGTGCAGCCCAAATTTGCCTGGTGGTCAGCAATGGAGGGGGAGCCTTGGGACATTCAAGTGAGGAAGATGAGATATCTTGAGGCCATGGATGTTGGCAATATACATTTGAGAGAGGGTGATAGTCCAATAGAGGGGATTTGTTCAATAAAGCACTCAGGATCTAGAAATTTTAGAGTTTATTCAGGGGAATGAAACATCAAAAATCTCAAAATTTATGACATAGATTTAGGCGGGGCTGATTTCCCTGTCAGGCACTACGAGCACCGAGGACAGTTTTGCTGTTGACAAGGTTTTGAAATGTCTCCTACATTTTGAGCATGAATGGAGAAATAAGGACCAAATCTTAGGGTAGCTCACCCTTCACATGGCTGGTTGAACCCCTCTGCCTAGGATAGAAGGAACCGATTCTATTAGATGGGCTCTTGCCTCTCTTATGACCCAGAAGGATCAGCAGTGTGGTCCTTCTGCTAACACTCATTGGTGTCTGCTCTGAGTGTGCCCTGCGCTGAGGGCTGGGTACAGAGGGAGGGAATGTGTGTCCAGTGTGTGAAAGGAAAACCCTGCTGGATGCCTCCCGGTCTCGAGACTAGTCCTGCCTGCATGGCACAGCCATTTCTACTCCTGACATCATGGAGTGGATGTTCAAAGTTCACACTCTGGAGCCACACTGGAGCCTCCCATCTCCACCCCATCCTGTTCCAGTCCAGCTCTGTCATTTACTAGTTGGTGACCTTAGGCAAGTTAATAATTTATCTGTGCCTCATTTTCTTCATCTGAAAATGGGGATAGTAGTGGCATCTGATTAATAGGGTTAGCATACTGGCTTTCATTTTTTTGACTTGTAAGAATCACATTTTACATCAAGATCCAGTACACACCCCCCCTACATATATACACATACATGTGTATGTGTAACAGAAAAAAACTTTTCCAAACAATTTCCAACCTCACTGCTGGCTGATAAACTATAATATTTTCTGTTCTATTCTTTCATTAAGCAAAATTATGGTTGAAAGCCATTAAGTTGATTTTTTTAATATGCACATGAGTCACTGCTCACAGTCTGAAAAACACTGGTTTAAGGTATTGTGTTTAGTTCCAAAAGCTACAATTTTTTTACACATGTCACTTTTTAAGAGAACCATTTTCAAGCTCAAGAGTGTCCAGAAGAGAATGAGCAGGGTACTTCATTCAGCTGTTCTTCCATCCTTTTTCACCTCTGATCCACTCATTCATTTTATTGTTTCTTCATTTATTCATTCATTTACCCATTTATCATAGGTTTACATGTCTATTTCATTTGGAAAAGAGAATCCAGGGAAAGATGTGCTCTGTAAGTCATGAGAAAGAGGAGCTAGACCTGTTTCCTCCAGTCTCCTAAGCAGAACTGGGGTTTCTGGATGAAAGTGACAAGGAAGCCAGTTCAGGTCATCACATAAAAGGTGTTTTGGAGTCCTAGGTGCTGCTACACCGTGGGTCCGGCTGCCTATGAGACTTTTCTCAGGAAGTAAATAATCGGAGGTGAGAGAAGGGAAGGTATTAAGAGGCTTCCAGTACTGGGTGGAGGTTGGGCTGAGGTGGATTCTTCACTCCCTGCTCCATCAAGGCTTAGGGTCTGCTTGAGGCACTGCTATGGGAATGAAGAGGAAAACCATCTAGTTGGGGTGCTATGGGAATGAAGAGGAAAACCATCTAGTTGGGGTTCTGTGGTCCCCACCTGACAACCAAAGCAGCTCTATTTCTATTTTTATGTAATGGGATTCTCCATGTGGTTTATCTTGGGTGTGGGGGAGGGATGGTGGCATGAAACATGTTCCACTGATGCTGAAAAAAATTTTTAATCCCTAAACTAGGAGCTCATTAAATCCCTTAAGTCTCAGAAGCAATCATTTCTAGGATTCTGGGACTTACTTTTTTCCTATAAAAACAAGTCCGTTAAAATTACAGTATAAGCCTTTGTTTTGCCCTCTTAAATCCAGATATAATTGAGAGCAAAAGTTAAAGAATTACAAATGTGGCAGGACAATGGATTGAGATGTCATTTTGTGTCGGTGGTTTTACTTCTTTCTGTATCCCCTCTCTCCATCCAGCCTATTCCAATCCCAGGAGGACAGCAGAAAGCCTCACCTTTACGCTCCGTCCGGGGGGGGGGGGGGCGGGTGTTTGGTGAAGCAGCTGAAATCAAAACTCTGAAGACAACTGGTTTTTCAGGCTTTTGTTGATTGAAAGCCTGAGTTTATTGAGGGGATTGTGATGAAAGAAAGGGAAGAAGGAATGAGAGGGAGGGAGGTGGGTAATTCCTGGCAGAATCTCAGAGGGTAGTGGCTTCGAAGTCCCCTTAGGGAGATGGGAGCCAGGCACCCACACTCCTTTGATCCACCAAAGCCACAGTGCTGTCAGCCTACTGGGGGATTTGGGGTTAGTCTTTAACAACGTTTCTCAAACATGGCTGTGAAGTTCCATCACCTGGGAATCTTGATAAAATGCAGATTCTGATTCAGTAGGCCTGGGGTGGGTTCTGAGATTCTGCATTTGTAATCAGGGATTCTGAAATTGCTGGTCTTAAAAGACAATACTTTGAGTAGCAAGGAGTTGAAAGAGTCGATTCCTTGTTTTCTGGGTGCAACACAAGGCTTCCAGACTCTTGTGCACTCTTAGAACAGGGAAGACTCTCCCAGTGATGACGGAACTAGAATGTTTCGTCGGCACAGCATAAAGGGATGCACCGTCAGTTTTAATTGGATTTGAAAGCTCTAGCACACTTGAGCTTGTGATTGCAAACTCATAGCCATGGCCCAGGTTAAGCAGCATCTCTATGGGAATTCAAGAGTTATTAAACCCCTCTTGCTCCAGGGTTGGATTTACTAAGTGGAATCTGCCTGCTCTTCCTTCCCAGGGTAAGAAATTCTCAGGGCATGATGTTTTGTGTTTTGGTTTTCCGAGAAGCACTTGAGCTGGGAGTAGAGACCTCTTCTCTGCCTGCTCTTTCCCATCCCAGAGGGTTAAATCATGAAATAGCTGCTTATCTTAATGACTTTAGGTGGAATTTTATCTGTTCTCTATCTCGCCTTGTCTAGAAACACAGAATCTATCTGTTTGCA